TAAGTAAAATATCAAATAAAAGAATAAAAAAAAAAATCCATTGAAGAATAAAATGCATTCAAATACAAATAAAAATAAATAAAATTAGTTACATTAGTTAGATTCTATTATAGTTATTAAATAATAATAATTACGTATAATTGGTATGATTTTAATAACGCTAGACAGTTTAGGAAGTTGGGCTATTTGGTATAAGAAACAATAGACAACGCGCCTCTTTGGTTTTGGTAATACCAGGTAGGCGCTTACTAATATATATGGCAAAAAAACTTATGGGATTTCTATCTAGTGTTGAAAATGCGAACAGGTGGGCAACAATGAAGAAAGGTCCACATGGCGGGGGTCGTCTCCCCGTATATCTTTTTTTCCATCCATACCATAATAAACGTGTTGAAAAGGGAACACCACAATCTATTAAAAATCCGTAGCTGTAGAGGTAAGATGCACCTTCAGACTTTATCATGGTATATAATTTTGATATAAAATGTTATTAGGATTATATCAAAATCTATTTTTATATTTAATTATAAAATTTTAAATTTTAAAAATGGTTAAAATCAAATAGATCTATAAACATATGAAAATCTTGAAAATGGGCGGTGTAGATAATATGTTGTAAAATGAACTATTTATGAGACTTAAAAATCTTTTTATTTTCATGGTCATACATCTCGATGTCGAGATGATCAATCAAAAGGTGTTACAATAATAAAACTACCTTTTCCGATGGATTTTTGAGGTGTATCCGTAGTTCTACATATAAGGTTGCAACCTTCAATAAACTTTTTTCAAAAAAGAGATAAGTCCCGTTGGAGTATTGTTTGTTTACTCCCTAGGATAAAAACCCACATAAAATTAATTTTAAGACTCAAAATTTTGGGGATGTATCATCTTTTACCCAAAAGTTAACCTCAATAACAAAAATCCCTAATTGCACCCTCTATGCAATTGAAAAAATAGTGCCTCGAGATAGAATAGAGACCATACAATTTTTAGATGATGAGATCTAAGCGTTAGAAACTGCAAATTTCAATTTTTTTTTTTTTATAAATAATCGTCTAGTGATTCAAAATTTTAGGTTAAAAAGATCCTCCGAAGTCGGTCTTCAAACAAGTGAATAGTTAATTACCAAAAAAAAAAACCCAAGTGAGTAGATGTAAACTATGCTCCCGAAGAAACATATAATTGGTGCTCTTCCATAAATTTGCTTTTTCAAATCATAGCTATCTTGCTATTAAGTAAAAAAAAAAGATAGGATGAATTGCGGTGCCAAGGATTCTAGATACAAAGAGTAGAAACAAAGGAGGACATTTCAGTGACGATCGGTGGAGGACGGGACGTGGTGTAAATGAGCCATCCATTTCAAAGTAATTTTACCTTCTTGCTGCACCGATACTATTCTCTTTACCAAAAAAAAAAGCAAATCGTGACTCAAAGTTTCAGGTACACAAGATCAAAGGCAAGAATGCAGTACACAAGGACAATTAAACAGTAAAGATTTATTCAGACAGTTACATGGAGGAACATGATTAAGAAAACCGCCATCAATAAAGTGGAATTGCATAACATGATTCATATAACCGACACCGACCTCGAGATGGGAGTATCATTCGGGGTTGCAGGTGGGCTGTTGCTCTTGATGTTCTCTCCCAGTTTTGGCCCTCCAAAATGATTCGACCTGCTCCTTGGTCCTCCAGGGTAGCCTCCCAGCTATCAGATCCCACCTGACTTTCAATTATTTCATACGTCTCAGTGAGAAAGAGATTCTTTCTTATTTCTGGTTCGTTAAGCTCTCCTAGAGATAGATAGAGAGTTGGGAGAGTTTGTTAAAAAAAGAAAAAAAAACAGATAAAAAGCTTATATTTGTTTGGATTGAAGAAGCAAGACCTTTCACCCAAGAGCTTGTAGAGCCTGGTTATGAGATCTTCTTCGTCCTCCGATATCTCGCTCGTCAAGTCCACCTCCCACCTCCTCCCTGAAAACAACTAAACCCCCTATTTACCTCCATTAATCCCAACTTGTGCTTGCCTGGGAAAACGGCCTAAGGGCAGTAATAATAAGTATACCGGCTGGCTCAACTGGCTTAATTGGACAAGTCTCGGTTGGTCAAAAAAGTGTTTAAAAAAATTTAAATATAAAGGAATTAAAAAAAAATAAAAAGTATGTTTAAAGTATGATCATCGTTGAAAATTGGTGAAAACAATGAATTTTAAAAATTCGATTTGTGCCTAAGGTTTTTTCTAAAATTTTTCAAAAAACAAAGATGAAAAAATGTAAAAATAGTTTTTAATGACCAAAACAACTTTCATTTTTTGCCAAAACATTCAGGAATACAAACAAATTTCTTATTTTTTGAGATTTTATATTAAATTATTTGATTTTTAGAAAAATACCTGATCGTATCACTAAAACCAGCTGAAACTAGAACCGACTAATGACCAGTTTCGATTTGAACCGTTCGATTTTGCGAACATTGATCCCAACTCACTGAAGACATGAGAGAGAGAAAGAGAGCCATTATTTTATGAGTGCAGCCGATCCCCACATGAGAGAGAATTGCAACCGCTTCCCACCAATGTATCCATGAGAGAGAGCAGCTTACCAGTGGCCGTCGGGTCAATTTCGTTTTCTCTCTGCTCTTCTGTTTCGTTTTCTTGAGGACAGCGAGGTTCTTCTCCATTTCTTGCCATGGTGACGGGTCTCTCTATATCCATATACTCTTCGTCCTCACTGTGAATTTTCTAGCATTTCATTTGATGTTTAAGGCGTTGCCCATGGGAATTTTTATCATTGTTAATGGTATACCCATGCCAAATTAATAAATTATAACAGGCATGTAGGGTCATGGATGACGACGGTTGTAAAGTAGGTCGAGTAGAGTCATGAATGATGTCGTTTGCTGGGTAGGGCCGTCCCGAACTAAATGTAAATTAACTGAAAGGGACGAAATGCCACCGCATCTTGTCAAGTGGCCCAAATTCCGCATCGCATGTAGATTTTTTTTATGTAGTTATGCATATCCCAATAGGATACGGTAAGGTTCAAATAAAGCTTAGATTTTATTTAATAAAAAAGTAAAACCTGACCTCATGATTCACCAAAATTGTAGTTGTGGCATAATTAGGATGCCCAGAAAAAAAGCACGATTTAAGCTCTAAAAATAGTGTATAATGTAATATATGATCTAGACGGTCTATTTTCAAGTGTTGGTGGACATCGATTTTAGAGCCATCATAGATATTTTTTATGTTTTAAGTATTTTGCGAATGAGATTTTGTGGTGAGGCTTTAGTTTATTTTTTATTTTTTTTATAAGGCCTGGGCCTTATAGAAACTGCATCTTTCACAAATTCTATACGTATAATAAATAAACCTATGTATTGAAAATCTAGTTTTGAAACAATGCGGCTTGTGTAGTTTATGGAAGATCCCAATATATAACAAATCCCTTGTTTGGCTATAATAAGTTGAAACCAAGTTTTGGCATCTCAATTCATAAGTTAACGATTACTTTATTATTTTTATTTTTAATTTCTTGGAAATATTTTTTTTTTGAACGAATAATTTCTTGGAAATAGGACATCCATAATGTGATTAACAAACAAAACGATTGATATCTTATATTGTAGATCATTTTAAAGTGGAATTTTAATATATATATATATATATATATATATTGAGAATCATCTCTCTCTCATACACACTCAAACACACTCTCTCTACGTTGTAGATGATTGTTAAAAATAAATCCTATAATTAAATAGACTTACGTAGGATGAGACACTTTAGCCAAAAGATCATGCACACATTTCTATCCATTTTGAGAACCATCGTTCAGGTTTCACCTAAAATTACATCTTAACCATAATACGACACAATCCTAGAGAGAGACGTTTAAACTTTAATGTAAATGAAGTCTAAAAATGCATTTGGCATAGGGCCATAGCCTTATGATCCTCGTGAGCCTAAACCACGTGCATAGGTTGCGCAAGGACTATGCTATCTTCAAAAACAATGCATAGGGTCATAGCCTTATGATCCTCGTGAGCCTAAACCACGTGCATAGGTTGCGTAAGGACTATGCTATCTTCAAAAACAATGCATAGGGTCATAGCCTTATGATCCTCGTGAGCCTAAACCACGTGCATAGGTTGCGCAAGGACTATGCTATCTTCAAAAACGTGATCCATGAGGTGCATAAGAGGCAAAATCACGTCTAAGGTCGTTTCATTTGTCTGTGCACAAGCAAATTGCAAAGATTGAATGCTTATACCGGCTCATCGGATAAACTTGCACTTTGTAATCATTTTTTAAAAAATGATTGTTTATAAAGATACTATATATCCTCTATACGAGGAGGCTACAATTATTTTTGTCCTTTAAATTTTAAAATAGGTAGTTATAATAATGTCATTGAATAGATACAATTTCAAAAAAATCTCGAATTTCATGATACACACTAAACCAGAGTAGCTGGCTCATGAAACCAATATATTTATTCATAATTTGAATTAACAGGTGGCCCAATGCGGAGTTATCATTTTGGGGGCAAAAAAGAAGCTTAGATGATTTCTATAAGAGGGGATCAGGCATGATACTCATCTTTTTTAAAGTCATCTTTATGAGAGTTATAGAAAGGGATCTCCAATATAGAGATGGGTTCCAAAGAGAAAGACAGACATGGCCTTTAAGAAAAAAGCGGTATTTTTATGAGTTTTGAATTGGTTAAAGTTTCACTTTTATAGAGAGAAAGTCTCTCGGTTGCCCTCGAAGTTATCTTTCCAGTAGCAGTAATGTGGTGGGAAAGATGATGTTGATCGACAGTGTTGTTTGGCCGAAAGAGCGGGTTTAGAAGAAAATATTGATGACGGTCTTTTACAGATGTTTAAGAACATATATTATCTCTTGTAACCCAAAACTGTAATCTTTATTGTAATAATGGATTTCTAGTGGTCGAGGCCCTGGATGTAGGCGTACAGGATGAACCACGTAAATCGTATGTTATTGTCGTGTGATTTTTATGTTTGTTTTATTTTTACACTCGATTTATGGTTCTATTCATCTATTCATATTTGCCAATCATGTACACGAACTTGGGTGAGATCCCAGCATTTGAGATTTCTTGTTCCGCAAGGGAGGGGTTCCCGAGAACTCTACTCATCTCCCACCTCTACCCTGCAACCAAATACACCCCCCATTTGCCTCCATTAATCCCAACTCATTCAAGACGTGTGTGTGTGAGAGAGAGTTTTGCTTAGTGCTTCAAACCTATCTTTGCTTCTTACCGGTGGTTATTGGGTTCATTTCGCTTTCTCCCTCCTCTTCTTTCTGCTTTTCGTTTGTAGAACAAGAGTCTTATTCATCACTTGGTGCTATGCTTAGAGCAACGGTACTCAAAGTTATTGCCTAGGGAGGTATCTTTATATGCCTTTTGTGATACCAAGTTAATTTGTATGATTGTGCATGTAATTTCAATGCCAAATTATTATGTTGCATCAGGGACCATATTAAAACAAATGGGCCAATTTCTTTGCCTATAGCCCTATACAGATCGAAAATCAGTGGGGACCAAACATATATTGGGATGGCATTGGCCTGATAGACGATAAGATGAAAGAAAATAGATTTAGGTGGGGAAATGGGCTAAAGTTGTAGTGTTCGCAGCTTACACCTTAGTCACCACATTGTAGTTTTGTGGTTTCCATTCCCACCACTAACATTGCCCCACTAACACCTTCAAAAAAGCTAACTCCTCATCTATTTGAAAAAGCGAGTAGCGGCTTGTCTTCTCCACTAAATTACCAAAAAAAGAAAAGAAGTAGACTTAGGTGTGTTGGCCATGTACAGCACAGACGCAGTACACCTATTAGGTGGTGCGAGTTGGTTCTAGTGAAAGGCTGAAAAATGATAAGGGGTAGGTTCAAAAGGGCATAGTTGAAAATAATGACAAAAATATTGAGAATTATAGCATCATTGAGGGTGTGGACCTTGATAGAGTAGAATGATGGATCATGATTTGTATATCCAACTCTAAATAGTTGAGAAGAGGTTTTGATGATGATCAATAACGACATGATTTCCCTCTAAAACCCTCTATTTACATTATCTTTTTTAAAAAAAAATTATCCAGTGTTCTTATGAGTCCTACCTAATCGTTGTCATCTAATCTTTATTCCAATTATTTGGGGTGGCTTTCATGATAAGATGTAAAATTTTACACTGGTTACCAACCTAACACAAACCATCTACTGTACTCAAGCTTGAGATAGGTTAAGGGAAAGTTTTAAGCTCCTCCTCCTTATTAGACCAATAACTTTAACCTAATCCCCACTCGTAAATCTCTTTTCTATTTTTTATTTTTTATTTTTTAATATTTTTCTACATCATGTAATCCTAACCGCCATCATCAATGTGCCATATATATGTAGGATAAATACGTAGGATAAATGATCAACTCTAGTAATACCTATTATAAAGACGGACAATCCATGTGTGAAAATGAAAAGGGGTGATAAAATGTCATTTGCCTCAATAAAAATAGGACAAAGTTTATATAGGGCTGACGCTCTAAACAATCAAATTAGAGCCCACCTAAAATTTTTTATTACAAGAGATTGTTTTGATTTTCAAATATCTTCAAATTGATCACCTCAGCATGAAGATGCATGCACATGAGAAAGAAATGGATTTCAAGTTTTGGAAATAGTGCATCTTGTAACGAATTTTTGGATCGTCAATTTTCAAAATTTTTAAGTTTTCATAGATATGTTCGAACTACACTATTTTTTAAGCTTTAAATTTTACAATTAAAAAGAAAAAAATATTTTAAGGTTATCACGAAGATTTCAGCATTAAAATCACAATTCTCGATACTATTTGAATGTGTGCTTTACTTAGATTGTTTAGAGCCTTGGCTCTATACAAACCGCACCCATAAAAATAAGGAAAATGGTTTGATAGGGTAGTAGCCTTCTCAAAATAAGTAAAATCTCATCACCAAAATCACCTAAAATTGTAATTCTGGTGTGTTACAACCTTCAAATCAATCATGTCAGCCTTGAACATTATAGTTGTGAAAGAAATTAAGATTTTAACTCCTAAAAGTAGTATATATAGTAGATGTAATGATCCTATAAGACCCTCATATACTCATGTGTAGGGCCCCAATAGATCACCATTAAATTTGACACAGATATCTAGAAAAGTAAATACCCACACCCATGTGATAACGTGTTTAGGTCTGTGCCAAATTTATTGGTGATCCTTTAGGGTAATACATACATGGGTGTGGGAGGGTCTCATATGATCATTACTCTATTTAGTAACACATTATTTACATTATTTATTTCGCCTTAAAAATAATTGTTCACGAATCTGTAAAATCTGTATCATTTTTTTAACTTCAAATTTCATAGTCAGTGTTGAAAACTGATTTTAGATAAAAACAATAGACCCGACCAGATTCAGGACCCGAAAGTACACCTGACCTAGTGTCTTGGTATGGGTCCAAATTTTGAACCCAAAAACTATTCAGGTCCGGGCATGGCCAGGCCCGACCTGTTGCCACCCCTATATTTATACTCCATCATAGAGATTTCTAATGTCCAAAGTGCTTTTGGAATGAGGATTCAAGATCAGACCTTACTCGGATTTCATAAAGCCTAAGCCTTAAAAAAACAGCATCGTATATCCTCACCACTGGAAATGGACCACACAAGTACGGTCTTGTTGAGTCATTACTTATTTTAGAAAAAGTAGTTGGTCAT